ATGTCTCTCCTTTGTGCATCTGCTTTCTTTTTCATAATTTGTTGAGTTCTCAACAAATGCTCTTTCAGTTCTACCAATATTTTGTCTTTGTCCTCCAAGTATTGTTATGCAAAAGCCATCGGTGTGCTACCCTGTCCATAATATATCAAATGCGGCGCTCTTCTATATATCACTTTGAACAATGATGTCTGAGCTGCTGAATGATAGGAAGTGTTATACCAACATTTTGCCCACAGCTTGGGTGTATCTGATATAAAGCATCGTAGATAAATCTCCACGCTACGATTGACCACCTCTGTCTGTCCGTTAATCTGAGGATGATAAGTGCTCCTTTTTAGAATGATCCCTGCATGTTGAACAACTCCTAGAACTTGCTCTGAAAGATCTTGTCTCGATCTGAAACAATTGATTATGGAGTCCCATGTAGTCTCACCACCTCCCTTATGAAAACCTTCGTTATTGATATTGCAGTATACAGGTGGCGAAGGGGAATAAAATGGGCATACTTACTCAATCGTTCCACTACCACTAGAATCGTAGTGTATCCATCTGATTTTGATAGCCCTTCAATGAAATCCATGGTCACCTCTTTCCAAACCTTTTGTTTCCTTGGCCATCTTATAATATTCTTTGATATCATTAGTCAAGGAGTTGATAAACTTTGACATTACCAAATTGCTATCTAATTTTCAAATAGGGTTAAATTTTAAAATATTCCCCGACTATTCATATATGACTATTTTAGTCTCAAAATATAACGTTGCTTCAATTTAGTCCATCGACTATATAAAATTGATTCAAAATGGTTCCTTTATGGCTAAATTGAAATCATTTTTGTAAAGTCAGGGGATTAAATTTTGATCAATTTTATATCATATTAATAACATGAGGGACTATTTTGGATCAATTTTTATATAGTCAAGCAGTGACGGAGCCAGAAAATTTTATACAGGGGCCCAAATAATTTTTTTTAATTCAAACATTTTTTTTTTGTCATTCGAGCTTCGCTTCAATATTGAAAATTTTTAAATTTTTTTGTTGCATTTATTTTTCTTAAAAAGAAAATATTACTCATAAGATAAAAAAAAATTAAATTAGAAATATATTCGCCCCCCCCCCCAAAAAAAAAAAAAAACCCCCCCCAAAAAAAAAAAAAAAGAAGCTTTTATGAGAGAACCATAAAACAGTCATGTATTGATCAATCACTCCGACTAAATATTTTTTTGCTTCGAAGGTAACTTTAATGATGAGGATCTCACGTGTTATGTGATGAATTTTACTTTAGAGGTTTAATGGATCAAGATAATTGGTCTGTAAATGAACAATATCACATTGTTTATGGTCATTAATTTATTCTTTTATAGTATTTGAGTCAAACATGTATTTTATTGCTCTGATTGTCATTTAAACATCAATTGTTTCTCTTTAATTTTTAACTTGTCAAGAATTCTCCTCCACCATCTTCGTTATGCACAAGTTTCTTGCTCATTAACCGCCCAATAGTTTCCTTTTTTAATGTAAACTCCAAACATTTTTATAAAATAAGAATTGACTGTAGTTTGCTGAAAAAGAAAAGCAAATTCAACTCCAACACATTGTAAAAGAATGCTAGTAATTAAAATATTTAGGGGGTGGCCCCCGCCCCCCACCCCCCCTCCGCTCAAAAAAAAAAAATCTAAAACTGTAGTCGAGGGACTAAATTGGGACACGTGATTCTCCGAGACTAAATTGGCCATACACAAATAGGATTATTTTGAGATTTTTCTATTTCCAAATTTTAAAACTTGGATCTACATGAGGAACAGTCTTACGCACTCTAGTGAGGTAAATAGTCCTGACCTTTTTCATCAATAAACATCATAGTAGATTGAGACTATTGGATGTAATTTTATTCGTTGAGTTTATGCTCTATGATTTGGAGGAGGGAGGCTCCGAATTCATTGAAGGTGTTGGTAATGATTGCTCAGGATGGTCAGGACCTCTGAGATTGAACTCTCCCTTTCTCTGGTCATGCCATATCTTGGCATCCACACCATTCACTAAACTAGGTTGAATGCTACGAAACCATGTTGAATTTAGTGAGAGAGCTGCAGTTTTTATTACTTTTTCTCTTTTGTTGGATACGTGAGACTTGAAGCTATACATTGCTGGTGGGCTTAAATCCTTCTATCATCCAGCCCTTGATTGCATTTAAAAACTACCTAAAAAATAAAATGAAAATAATGAGAAAATAAAAGGGAAAGAGATTAGAATTTCTCCTTATTCAATACAAAAAGCTTTCCTATACGGAGAGCTATTTTAATTTCTTAGCCAAAGCTCTTTTATTTTCTCTAGCAAAGCCTTTGTTTTCCCAATCTCCATGTATTCAAGACAAACTTCTTAAGCAGAGCACAAGGGCATTTAGAGCTAAATAATTTAACAAATGCATCATGGAGGCGTCAAAAATTGATGAGGACATCCGACCGTGGAAAGTTTATCAGAGAAGAGGACGAAGATCCATGGCCATGATTGTACAACTTTATTTTTGAGTTATTATTTATATTTGATTTATTTATGCATTTTTTTGTTTTTACCCTCACTTAAGGGAGTAGTCTCATGTGACCACAGGGGACATTTTCGTCATTAGAGTTATTGTATGTTGGCTTTTTATAGCCCCCTCCTCCTCTTTGGAGGATGATGATTATGATAAGAAGAAAATTCTACGCTTTGTATTTTGAGAGCTTGAGATTTCTTGTGAGAGTTGAAGTCTCTAGGTGAGGGCAACATATTACCCATCAGCCGCAGGAAGCGTCTGGGCTCGTGGTCCTTCCCCTTCACCAATTTCTTCTCCTTCCTCCTCCTAGCCGCTGCCCCATCTTCCCCTTATACCCTTGGCCGAAACTCCCCTCCACACCCAAACCCTAGCTAACCCCCTCTCTTCCCCTCCCTCCCTTGGCCGAACTTCACACCCAAGCCCAAGACCCACTCCACCCACCCGCCAGCCACCCAACTCCCTTGCCAACCGTCGGCCCCTTCATTTCTCCCATGGGATTCAAAATTTCCTAACCTAGCATTCAAATACTTTCTGAATTTAACTCCTTTTACATTTGGATGTCATTTGAATTCAGATTCCAATGAAAACTTGGAATTTATTTCCTAAATGAGGAAATTTATTTTAGGAATGCCCCTCACATCAGCTAATTTGAATTTTAAATAGGAGTTAATTTAAATCTCCTTTCCTATTTTAAAATTCCAATTCTAACAACCCTTAAGTCTTCCAATCAAATCCTTTCCTTAACCATTGACGCCCCCCTCCCCTTCTCTCTTAAATTAATCCTATTCCCCTTTGGGATCCTAATCAATTCCCTCATTAAGGGGCCGCCCCCTCCCCTCCTCCTTTCCCTCTTTGATTGGGAAATTTGAATTCAAATTTCTCACTCATCTCCACCAATTAAAGCTGGAATTAAATTTCCAATTTTGAATTTGCTTCCCTTAATCAACACACAAAATATGGAATTAATTTCCCTTCTCCCTCCTCTAGGGCCGGCCACTTAGCCCCACCACCTTCTCTATACTTCTTATATTATTCTTGATATTTCACCTAAGGAGGAAGAAGTAGATCCTCCTCCCTTGAACAACTACATTCAAACTCCTCGAGCATTGCAACCCTTCAACGACGACAAGGCATGTTTGTTTCAAGGCAAACCACAGATGAACATTGCCCCGATCCTGAAGAACATCATAGCACAAGTTCAGGAGCTTGACGGAGTTCCACATCAAGATTAGAAACTTGACAAGGTGAACTCTTTTCCTACCCTTTCTTCTTCTAACCTCTCCTTGATCGTGGCATCATTAAAAAGTTATGAAAGCTTCTCCGCTTAGCCGTTATGATGAGTATGTGTGAGGGATCTTAATAGTAACTAGTCTTATCGTTAATCAAGAGATTTCTTTTGAAACCCCTATGTTAAGCAAAGTTGGATCTTGTAATCAATTGCTTATGCCCAATCATTGCTTTATTGTTTCAATCTATTGTTTAATCCGTAGGAAATTGAATAATTGTTATTACTCCGTCACAAAGCGTGTAATTTCAAAGTTAATACATTTGCCTATGCATGTAGTTATGCATCAAAAACTCAATCTATATTGTGGGACCATAAGGTTTGATGTTCGAGTCCTTTGTCTTCAATCTTATTAGTGGATGCTTTTGGTATTGGTTCTTGTTTAGGTAAATCATTACTTGCTGACTTTAGTTTTTTCCTTGACTTTCCTATTAATTTGAGTGCTTTGCTTTTTACAGTGCTCCCTTTGCCAACTTTTAAACATGCATATTACCATCTTAATCGATTGTGGTTCACCTTCTTATAGCAAAATACTATTGTTCTCTGGTAATCCTTTGTTTTCAGTTTATTTTATGTCCGTGAAACTCCATTTTTGTATTCAACTATTATGCCATACATTATTTTATAGTTTTGTGGTGGTATATTGTAGCTGTTGTAGTTTTTTTAAATTTAATTTTTGTTATGTTCTGCTTATCTTGAGGGATGTTTCGCCCTCCTCTCCTCCAGTTTTACATGATCACTTATATTATTTTCTTTTTATTTGTTATCAATGAACCATATTTTGTCACTTACATTTATCTTCTGAAAAGTTAAGGAATATACATATATATATATATTTATTTATTTATGAAGTTTTTAGAGTATTCGATCTGGTGCTTTTCTAGTAGGTAGCTATACTTTATCACACTATGGAATTATGTCTTTTCTTGGTTGAGGTGATCCTTTATAAAGGTTTCTGCGGAGTGACTGTAGCAATATAACTTCCCTAAATACTTTTAGACGTTAGCAAACTCAAAATCATGATACCATTTATAAAGTTTAACTGGCAACTCAATCTGTTGTTTATTGTATTTGGGCGGTCTGATCATAGTTTGTTGTTTGAAGAACTCTATCGTCATTGCATTAATATAAAATGTTTGTTGTAAATACAATTCTTCACTTGTATTTTTTCCGGTGGAGCAGGCTACATATTTGTTCAAAATGGTAGCAGAGAGGGGGCCTTGGAGTTCTCTGTCAAGGTGGGCTCTAGAATCTTACTTGAAAGGAGATGTAGGAAAGGCCCTCCTATTATACTCTAGAATGGCTGAGCTCGGGTATGAGGTGGCGCAGAGCAACGCAGCATGGATCCTTGATAGATATGGCGAGCACAGTATGTGCTTGGGAGAATCTGGCTTTTGCACAGACTCAGAAAGGCACCTTCGGGCACATTCTTTGTGGTGGCAGGCATCAGAGCAGGGTAATGAACATGCTGCTTTGCTGATTGGGGATGCTTACTATTATGGAAGGGTATGTGTTTTTTTTTTGTCTAAAGAATGGCATGTTTCGTCTACTCTCTGTTCTTGAGTTTCTTTCATAGTGGTCTAGATATTTGTCCAGAAAAATCTTTGTAGTCAACGACTCAACATTGCTTGGGTGCCAATTTACTTCTATTCTAAGTGTGACTTGTGTATGACTAAACTTTTACTGGGAGCATTCTTGTAACTCAGAAATTTAAGTTTCTTGTGATGATTGCTGAGCATTGCCGTTAGTTTCACTTTAAGCAATGATTTGCATAGTGGAACCAGACATTGGGTATGGATCTATTTGTTGGGCATTAAATACAGCAATATTATTTCTTTATCCCACCATGTGAGGTCGGTTGTATGAACCTTTTTTATTGATTGTTCTATTAAGAGTCAAATTCTCATTTAAATATGATAAGACAAGGTCGTTTCTAATGCTTTGTAACTAAGCTGTTGGGCACTAAATGAGGGGAAAAATGGCTGAGTTTGCTTAAATTGTTGATCTGGCCATTTCTACCGTGCTGGTCGTCGTCAAAAGTAAGCCAAGTAGAACCAACAATTGAAGTTCTATGAAGAAAAATGGAAGGCCAAGCTAGTATGGCTGAATTTTCTTAAAAGGATTTTTGCATTATTTAAACATTAATGAAGCCACATGCAACTCTTGGCTGAAGTGTTTGGACTTGAATAATTCATCAATGCGAATCGAAATGGTTAAATGGTCGAGCTGGCCATATCTACCATGCTGGTGGTCATCAAAAGTAAGCTAAGTAAAACCAACAATTGAAAAATAACTCAGAAGTCAATTATATAACAATTCATGTTACTAGATCACAGCGTACAAGCATTCTCTAAATGATGTAGGGAAGTTTTCTGAATTATGGTCTCATGAAATTTGTTACATTAGTAATCAGTTAAACAGTTCTCCTCCTGTGAGTAAGCTATTCCTTGAAACTGTTAGACAGATAGAAATGAAACAAAAGTGACTAGCCTGTTTTGGCTAGCTAATTTTATGTAATTGGTCATGCCTGAAATTGCAAAGCCAAGGCTAGATTTATGCCCTAGTCCATAATCCATTGTCGAACTTGTTTTGGGCCTTGCTTCCTTCCACGGACTTTGTCTGAATGAGCTATTTCTTGGCTAGAGATTTGTGCAATCAAGTAATCATGGTTAACAGAACTTCTCATTTATTCCTTTAACTGACTACAGCTAAGTTAGCTCCAAATCCTTTGATTTTCAAAATGCTATTCGTAAAAGCTGCCTGTTTTGCAATTTTGGAATATAAAATTAGCTTTCTACATTTCTAATATTTTGCTTTTATATATATATATATATGAATATTCATTGTAAAACTTTTTTGTTAGTTGAAAAAAGCTGAAACCTTGTGTAGAACTTATCATTTATGTTGGCTTGTTTCAGGGTACTGAGAAAGATTTTGAACGTGCTGCTGAAGCTTATATGCATGCCCAATCACAGTCTAATGCTCAAGCAATGTTTAACCTTGGATATATGCATGAGCATGGTGAGGGACTTCCGCTTGATCTACATCTGGCAAAGAGATACTACGATCAGGCCGTACAAAATGATCCAGCAGCCAATTTTCCTGTCAAACTGGCACTTTCGAGCTTGTGGATCAGGAAAAATTATCCTGATAGCTTTCTGGTATGGTTATTTTTGAATTGGTTCTTTGTTCCATTAGTAATGCTGCAATCTACACTTCAGATGATAGAGAATTCCATGAAATGTTAAAGAAATGTGGCTCAGTTATGGGTTCGCAGGGTTGGGGGGAGGGGGGTGGGTGGGATTATAAATACCATTGATTTTATATAATAAGAAAAACTCGTGGAGGAGAGCAAAAACAAAACCCCATGGCTAGGAGAGAGAATGGAGAAATTAACCCATCAAAGAGGATGCAAAAGCACTGCCATATCTTTATTCCATCACTATCTATCTTAATTATAATCTTAGGCTCGCGATTTATAATAATAGCCATAAATTCGTGCTATTTATAACTTTGTTAGCATTTAAATGATTAAAAGTATATCCAAAATGATAAAATATGTCAACCTTGACAGTTGTCAAAATGGAAATCGAGGCATATAGTGTATGAGAAGTAGCTAAATTTCACTATGCTCACACAATGAATACAAATTTGATGAGAGGAAGTATCTTGCATGACATAAAGAACTCTACTCTAATAAATTTAAATACCAGAAGAAGAATAGATCATTGAAGGTATTATAGATCTTTGAAATCCATTTTGAAGAAGAGAGAAATAAGAAATCTTCTTCAAGTAGGGATGATGATTTTGTTTATAAATTAAACTCATTTGATAAACAGACGAATTTTAATCATCTCGAAATCAAAATTGAGTTGCTTCGTATTGAGTTTGGCATTTTAAAATCAAAATAAAGAATAAGTTCGGAGATCTTGTTTGTTAGATTTTGGAGGATAATTTGTAGAATATTGAGGGGAAACTTTGGAGGATATTTGTCTTGAGTGAATTTGGGAGAATAGAGAGACTAATTGATGAAAAAAATGAACAATTGCTAACATAGTCCAACTAATTTTAAATTTGATTTTAATTTAAAAAATTCCATTTAATTACTTTTTATCAACATTTTTCATTTAATATTTGAAATTTGTAAATTTTTAAAATTGATTTCTTTAAACGAAAGATTTTGTTGTTACTTTTTTTTTAATGGAGTTTGTTGCAACCTATGTTGCATCGATACACCTATTCCTGAAGGCGTGTTGTATTCGATACACCGATACACGGATATGCCTTCGATGCTCCACCGATACGTGTCGGATACGTCAAAGCTGTATCCAATTAAAATACTATTTAATTTCAAAAGGACACGCGTATCCGATATGCGTGTCAGTTGAAAAACAAAAAGAAATCCGAAAAAAAAAAGACGTGTCGTCAAGAGACTCAAATATTTTATTGAAGATAATTCCGCGGTTGCGAGCAAGATTCTTTCACTTGATGAGCTTGAATTAGAAGCTATGATATTTATTGAAGATGATATAGAAGTTCAAAGACAAACCAATGAAGAAGATAATTATATCGTTCCTTCTATTGAATAGTTGAAACTTCATGTGCTAGATAATTTATGTTTATGCTTTTGTTGTTGTCCTAGACATTTAATGCTTACTTATATTTTGATATTATAAGCTACAAGGCTACAAATGATGTTGTTGTCATTTTTTTTTGTAATTTCAAATATTACGCTTTGATTGCTTTCTTAATTTTTATGTATGATTTATAAATTATAATGCTGTGTTCGCGCCATACCCGTATCCTGTATTTTTAAGAATTGACGTGTCCCGTATCCGTATCGTGTCGTTTCTGTGTCGCCGTATCCGTATCGGTGCAACATAGGTTACAACTAACCTAATGGAGTGGTGAAAGGTGGTGCTGGCCATTGGAGGTTGGCAAAGATGCCACTGTGATAAAAAATAACAAAAATAATAAGTATTAAAAACTTGAAACTTGAGATTTCATAATCTAGGCTGGATTTGTTAAGAAGAAGGTTGCAGGAAGTTTTTAGGAGTTTATTTGGAGGGCATATGGATTGAAAGACTAAAGAGATTAAATACAGAAGAAGGTGATTCCATGATTCCTTGAAACCTCAAAATAAAAGCACACCAGGATATTATGGAGAATATTATAGAGCCGAAATTTTGGAGGATATTTTTGAGTGATTTGTGTATAATAGGTACACTCATTATTCAAGAAGTTGAAGGAATGCTAAACAAGTTCAACTAGGTTTCAAATTTGATTTGAGTTTAGAAAATTCCATTTTATCTTTCTTATTTACCATTTGAACTTCATGGCCTCTCCCAAGTTGCGAGGTATCATGACTTTTATCGCTGCTCTGATGTCTGCCTTGAGCCCCTTCATGAATTTTCCTTCTAATGCCATCTCTAATAATCGCTCTATCCGGCTGGCTAGGTGCTCGAACTTCTCCCGATAATCTTCCACTGATCCGCCCCTTCATGAATTTTCCTTCTAATGCCATCTCTAATAATCGCTCTATCCGACTGGCTAGGTGCTCAAACTTCTCCCGATAATCTGCCACTGATCCGCCCTATACTAGTGCAGAAAATTTCTCATAGAAGTCTCCTTTTCCATCGGTTTGAAAATGTTCTAATAAGCAGTCTTTGAAGGCTCTCCAGCTCTGTATAGGTCTTCTTTGGTCTCTCCCTTGGAATCATGACAACGCCTTCCCCTTCAAACATAGGCCTGCTAATGTTAGTTTCTCCTCATCCGTTAACCCATTAACATGAAGTACCTCTTCACTTTGTAGATTCATCCATAGACATCATCCCCTTCGAAAATTGGCATTTTCAGCTTCCTTACCTTTTGATCTCCCCCTGTTTCCCCTTATTCCTCAATAGTTTCCTCTTTCCCAGGTGCTTGGCCTCTCCCAAGTCTCCCGATCTTCTCTCCTACATTCATACATGAAGCCCGCTTCGTTTCCCCCCTCTTTTCTTCAAAATCAGCACAATTTCTCCCATATTACCCTTCTTTTCTTTCCCAACTGACACCCCTTGAGCCTTGCCCCCCATAACCATGCTCCTCCATACCTCCCACCTTGTTCCTCCATGATTTTAACTTCATCGTCCCTCCTACGATACTCAGAATTTGTTGTTTTTCCCACTGGTTATTTCGCCTCTGATGCCGTTGTTTGGATTTGATTCTCTAATAACTTCATCATCGCATGAAGACCGGAAACCTTGTCTTCCATGGATGATATTCGATTTTCCATCGTAGCTTTATCTCTCCTTCAAATCTTTCTTCCAACGCATCCACCTTCTTGGCTGCCATAGAAAAAATTGATTTTTTGCTTCATAAATCAGCAAGGATCCTTTCATCCGGATGAAATTTTGCCGCTGAAATTTCAAAAAATTCAGTCCCTCGGTGGTCCCAAGACTTGCTCTGATACCAATTTGATAGGAAATACTTGAGTTCGCATGTAATCCTATCAGAAATACTTAAGTTTGCAAGCAACCCTAACAATGAATCAGTAAAATCAATGAGAAAACACACAAGAACATCAATGAAATCAACTCAAAATAGTAGATTTTATTATATAGAGCAAATAAAGCAAAATATAAAGCAAAGATACAATTGATCATCAATTCGAGAGGAGGATCGTTCTCTCCCAATCTCTAGAAAATAAGTCTAGAACTATGATGCACAGATATGAACACGGCGACACGGATACGACACGACACAGACACATGATACGTCAAATATTGAAAATATAGGACACTGATACGGTTTGGACACGTTATTATAATTTTTATATTTTAAAAATAGTGTATAAAAATTGAATAAGTATAATTTAAAAAAAATTAGAAATAATAAGTCATTTAATTAGAGTTTGTGTTTAAAATGATTAATATTAGGATGCCGAGAGTCAAACATAATAAATCATCGAGATAGGAGATGGCAATGCTGTCGAGAGTCGGGCATTGATGTTATGCAGTAAATATTTGGCATCAATGTTAAGAGAGCGTTTGTCATCAATGTTGGGAGGGCATTGGTCGTTGATGTTGAGATGACGTTGGACAAATATGAGATGTCAAGTTGTGGGTATAGAAATTGCTAGCATCAAGCATCAATGTAAAGACTGCATTAGACTTTGATATGGAGATTTGATGTAGAACGAACATGCAAGGATGACAAGGTAAGACAAGTACGGAGCTCCGGCGTGGTCGTTTGGGTGCTTTGAAAATGAATGGACAGCAGTACAATCCTCCTAGCTGTCTGGGGACAGCATTTTGGCAAACTGCAGGCCTTGGACAGCAGCCGGAGACATTTCCAATTGGCGGGGCAGCAAAGAAAAGGTGCAGAATCCTTTGGGCAGCAACTCTGACAGCATGGACAGCAGTTTGGAGGTCTTCTTGGACAGCAATTACGTGCTCCAGATCTTCTAAACAGTAGGTTTCAAGTGCTTGGTACACAAAATAGCAGCCAAGAGGAGTCTGGACAGCACTGGATCGAATTCTGGGGCTGACCAGCTGGTATGGGGGTGCAGAAATCTGTTGGACAGCAGTTCTCCAACTCTTTCTCCAACTCTTAGGATTTCTGGGCAGCAATCCCGCTTAGAAAAATATCAAGCTTACGTGATCAATTGGAGGAAAGGAAGTGGTGTAAGGGATTGAGAGTTCCCTTGCGGTTCTTTCCTTCTCTAGAATTAATTTAGAGGTAGGAGAGGGAGGTGGGCGGTTAGAGAGAGGGGAGGTAGGAGCAGGCTAGCTGCATGATGGAAGGAGGGAACAACGGAAGGGTTTGATTGCTTGCCGCCTCAATAATTTTCAATTAGGAATAGTTTAAATCAGTCATAATTTGAATTTTCAATTGAGCATAATTTGGGGACTTGAATGCTGATTGATTAAGGCAAGAATTAAGGGGAATTAATGAGGGGTGGACCGGCCATGAGAGAGAGGGGGGAATTTTGGACCAAACAATGAATTGTAATTAATGACTAAATCTGAGAATTAATCTCAAATTTAGGGTGATGGAGGGATAATTACTTCAAGGTTTAGGCATAAATAGAAAGCATTTAAAATTCCAATTATTTTGAATTTGAATTCAAATCCTTTCCTAAAATACAAGGAGCTAAATAAGGAAAGAAGTAATGGGGGTAATTTAGGCTTCTAAAATTGGGTCTTGAAATTAGGAAAGAGTTATTTTAAAATCCTCTTGAATTTAAAATTCAAAATAGACCTAAAATAAATACTTTCCTAAAATGAAAGAATTAATTTAGGAAAGATTTCGAAATCAAATTCAAATTTTTGAAATTCAAAATTAACCAAATTAATCTACTTCCCAATTAGGAAATGCAAGTGGGAAGAGAAATGGGGAGGGGGTGGCTTGGCCGGCGGCTAGGAAATTGGGGCTGGCGGCATTGGGGTGGGATCTGCTTCAAAATCGGCGGCTACTTGAGGCTTGGCCGTGAGAGGTGGTGGAGCTAAGGCCGGTTTGGTGGAAGTAGGTAGAGGATGAAGATGGTGACTTAGAACAACAAGAAGGAACAGAACAAAGAAATAAAAGATAAAAGATAAAACTGCGAGCCTTGGACTCTTCCGAAGACTGACGAGTGATACGTTGCCCTTCTCCAAGGGACTTCACGCCACGAGCCCGGACCCATCCTGCGGCTGGTGGAAACTATGAATTCCTCACATAGGAATCTCACCTAAGGTTCTTCCCAAAGAACACAAGTGAAAAGCATAAATTTTTTTTATTATAATTCCATCATACCTAATACAAGAGAAGGGGCTTCTATATATAGGCCTCAAAAGAAATTAAAAGACACATTTGCCCCTTGGGCTTATATAAAACAAGAGGGTAGAAAAGGAAAATTGCAAAATTAAATCAAAATACACTTAATAAACTAAAATAAAACAAAGTGATCTCGGTCGTCGATCTTCAGCTCCTCGAATATGCATGGACAGTTGGATGTCCGCATCATGATTGTTTTGAAATATTGATGATGTAACGACGTTAGTCGTCAATGTTGAGATGACTTCGGTCATTGTTGTGAAATCAAAGTTGTAACCCACCAAAGAAAAATGAAAATGAGAATATTCGATGAATGAGGTATTAAGTGTGGACGATTGATTTGGTATTGTGGATAGTAAGCAAATAAGAAATTTAATTTTTATATTTTAAATAAGTAAAAATTTTAATATACAAGAAATTATATTTAAAAAAATTATAAAATATTTAAGATACGCGTTTCAGCAACTCGCATGTCTAATTTGTATTTAATATTTTTTAATCAGACACATTTTCGACGTGTCCGACACGTGTCGGAGGAGTGTC